TTAAGGTACTCGGTGCACCCCCAGTCTCCAGTGTGTTAAAGGGCCAGTACAGCTTCATAGAAACATTCAAGAAAGATTTATGAGCAGCCTTTATGTACAGAAGGTTATCATGAGCTGCTTAATAAGTCTTTATGACATTTTATTGAGGGGCTGGTTTGGTTTCCATAGCTATCAAACATTTATTCCTGCTAGTTTTTAAGCTGCCATCAGGAAAATGTCCAAATTGTTGATGCATGAAAACATTCCTCTGGAGCTGTCATCAGCTGAGGGGCTTAGCGGGGTGTTTATACATACATCTGATGTTCTCTTGTGTTTTACTTGAACCACAAAGCCGTCAAACTGGTTTCCATCAGGCATTCGTCACTGCCTTTTACAACAACAGGTAGTTCGTACTTATGAGAGCTCTGGCTGCGAGCGGCTTAACACTGAGCAGACCCAAAGTGCCCAACTGTGCTCGCTTCAACATCTGTGCCGGAACGCCAGCACCTGCCTCCCAAAGTAAACACTGTCAGAGGAACATGGCTGAACACACAGAGTCACTGCTGAACATGTGTGAGGTCTGAATCACACAGAGAACTAAAGGAAAACCAAGAGCACAGGATGCATGAAGGCATGAACGGTTTGCTGAGGGGTAAATTTTGAGCAATAAATTAGACCGTATGGAAAACGTGACGATCCGTTCTGTTTGCTCCTTGGTGTGACCACAGGAAGATGCTGCAGTCTCTGGGGCGTCCGGAGCTCCACATGGCCCTGGAGGTGACCATAGTGAGCGGATCGGGTCAGGAGCATGCTGGCTGCCTGCTGCTCACCTCCGAGGTTCTGTTTGTGGTCAGCCTGTGTGAGGACACGCAGCAGCAGGCCTTCCCCATCACAGAGGTGAACACAGCGCTCCAGGTCGGCTGCAGGTGGCAGCTTCCTGCGGCTGACCTCTGGTCTCTGTGCAGGTGGAGTGTCAGCAGGAGCCGGAGCAGCCGGGCCAACTCACACTCACGTTGCAGCAGCACACGCTGAGCAGCGACTCTGAGGTGAGCCCATCGTCAGGAAGGGGGATGTGGAACTCAAAGCAGCTGACCTAAATATTTCATTATTTTATTATAATTTAATATAAAGTTCATTCACAAGTTAGTCCAACCTCTGGCTTTCTGGTTAAAACATCCACCAAATTGTTTAGATCAAATGTTGCTTTATTCATTGATGTCTAGCTAAAAGCTGATGCAGTAATAATAATCTTTACTGTCATTATAGAAGATTAAAGTAGCATTATAAAGTAGCATTTGATTTATAATTAGTCTTATGCTGGTTTCACCCCACTTCTTAAATGAATAATTTGTGATTTTTAAAGGAAAGTTCTGTTGATAGGAGGTGTTGATACTGTAAATCAGGGGTGTCAAATTCATTTTTCATTTTGGGCCACATCAAGATTATGAATGTCCTCAGAGTCGTTTGTATTAGAATGTACTGATAAAACGAACTTTTAACTAGCTGATGAAATTATTACATCTTTCTCTGCATTCAAAGAACACTCCTAAAAATCTTAATCTTTAACATCCTTTCACATTGATATAATTTGGTACAATACAAATAAAAATGGATTTGATTTTATATTTAAGCACGCAGCTGTTATCTTAAAGTTCTGTTTCTGCCATATAAATAGTTATAGCCGGCTAGATTTGGCACATGTGCTGTAGATAATCCACTTCCAGCAGAGGCTAAGACCGAAGCAAATCTCTATCTTAACATTAATCCACCTTTCCAGGTTTAGTTGAATGTTATTTTAATAAACTTGAGACTGTTGTCATGGTTGCATAGACTGGGATTTCAGCAAAAGCCAATGGTTGACAACAGAACATGCATGCAGTTTCAGTCAAGCTGCCTGATATAAGAGTTAAAAATATAACAGTTTAAGGTGACATTTATTGTTTTTCCATTAGGTAGTTAAATGTAATATAAACACTTTACATGTTTTATTCAGTGTCCATTTAATACTTGAAGATTTTTCCTTCTCTCCTCTTTCATTCATTTCATGGTAACCATTGGTTACTGAACAAATAAACTGTGTAATGCAAACATGGTGTTCAACATCCTAATCTGGATTTAGACTAAATGAAGATGCTAAGAGTTATTCTGTATAAGTAAGACATTAATTACTCATAATATTTTAACAGAACCTCAACATGAATTATTATAACATGCTACTGTCAGCAGGGCTCATTCATAAGCTAAATTACCACGTTTTAAAATTCACATACCATCACTGATGCTGCTAAATATACTCTGCTGTAAAAATTAGTTACTACAACAGAGGAAAAAATTACTTTTTGTACTTATTTTTGGCTAATAACTGAATTAGCCAAAAAGAAAAAAAGTCAAAGTGAATGTTTAGAAAAGGGACATCTCCTTCAAAATAATTTGCCGCAGTAAGAATCCCAGATTCTTCAAGCTGAGATTACTCAATGTGGTCTGCAGTTGTCATGACAACATAGTTAACATTATGTATTCTTGATGTCAGAGTTCACTTGATCAGGACCTCTGTCCCCCTGCAGGGTGACGGCGTCCGGGAGCGTTTATCAGAGCAGCAGTATCAGCGGTTGGTGGATTATGTGATCCGAGCCTCCCAGTTCGTCTCTCCGTCTGCCGCCTCTCTTCAGCTCCAGCCTCCAGTCACCCTTGCAGAACCTCCACCCTCTGTCACCAAGTGTTACCGCTACCTGGTGGATCCTGTTTTTGCCAAGGTGTTTGTTAGTAAGTTCACTATAGTGAAGAACAAAGCTCTACGCATCGGATTCCACTGATAAATCTTCACATCTAACCTATGCGCCACATTTAATGTTTGCCTTAAAACCCTTTCACTTTGTGCTTAATTCCTAACAGTTACCATGTGAACTAATCCTTTTTTTTATGTAACTGGTCACTCATGCCTTAGAGATAAAGTTTTAGGAGTAATATTTTCTTACAGAAACGTGGATGTGTAAAAATCCTTTTAATGTAAGCTCTGATGTTTCAGTGAGCATGCAGAATAGAGAACACTACAGCAGAGTTTCATCAAGTTAGTCCAAAACAAACCTCAGTGTCAGACAGAAATATTCAAGCACTTTGATGTTTCATTCTTTCGGAAACTGCTTCAGGCTGTGTTGATATTCTGTGAATTATCCCATGCCAATGTAAAGTGCAATATTTATACATGTTGATGGACTCTAGAGATACCAGCTGTTGACCAAAAGTTTTACAATGATGTAACATACTTGTTTAAAAATAAAAACACTGTTATTTGTACCTTGTGTTCATGCCAAACCCTACTGATGCAAACATGTTGCATTTTTTTATGGTGTCACTGAGCTCTCTATGAAATGCAATTGTTGATCTGAAACTTAAAAACTCTTAATAAAAAAAAATGTAACTCACATGAAGTATTCTTTTATTTTTAGTGCAGCTAAAAAGGTATTGAAACCGTGGGCATCACTACTTTCACAATCAGCAGGCCCCATAAGGCTTAGGCCTGAATAAGAAATATTCTAATATCATACGTCTTCAACTTCTTATAATCAATGTATCAGTTACTCTCTCAGCCTTCACTCCTGCTCAGATAGCAGGGATGCTCCTCCTGGGCCCAGGGTTGGGACATGTTTTCACCCTTCCTGTAATAAAATAGAAAAGGTAAAGCTTGTTACATATAATGGCTTCAAGTGCATCGTCAATGAGTTTACTTACTGTTCATTTTGGTGAACCTCCTAGTGGAGGCAATTGATGGCACCTGGGAGCCTTCCTTACTGTTTACTGACAGGATACTGGAGTCTGAGAAGAAGAGAGTTGGTGGTAAAAATCTGCCCCAACATTTAGTTTTAGTTTTTAATGTACAACAAACCACCTTGGTTATGTGTAGAGCTGTGACTTTTACTGTCGCCAAATTAATTTATTGCATTTAAATTGTAAGCCAACACTCTAAATCCGTGTATATTTATTTAGTTTTAGGTAGGGATTCATCAATGCAGAAAAACAGCTGGATTGACTTTTTTTTACACAGAGACTTAACCCTCGTGTCCAGAAATGGGGTCCAACCGACCCCACACACGTAAAACATGTATCATTTTCCACAGTCCTCTACGTTTGCCTCAGCCCTCGCACGCACAAGGGTTAAATATACTGAATTACAAATGTGATAACTCTGCACTAGTACAACACACCAATAACTTCACAAGCTTGGTCAGACGTGGAAAAACAACACAACTTTAATCCGTTCAGTGGAGTAAGGAATAGAATACCAATGGAAAATAAATAATGCATGATGTCACTCAGAACACAAAGCATAGAATTAGAATAGATCAGCCCTTATTGATGGGGACATCGTCACTGATACCCCATCTGGAATTTTTTTTCAGCATTAAGACCAATACAGATTGGTCTTAATCTGTATTGATTAAGACCATCTGATGCATCTCTACTTTTAGGTAAAACTAACTTAATTGGCTATAAATTTCTGCAAACCTGAATCTGTGGAGGCAGAATTCTCAAGCGAACTCAGCACATCCTCCCGCTCCTTCTGCTGATCTTCCATGTACTTGGAGTATGACCACAGCAGCTGAAAGGAAATGTCAAGCTTTAACGAGGTTCCATTACTGGACTGAACTCTTTCGTTTAAGTTTGTGGTTGAGGCCGACAAACATTCTCTGCAGTATTCATTTCACAATGCTTAATGTTGTTCAGGATTCCCTGAATTCAGACTTTATTTCATACACCAGCAGTTTTGATAGCTTGCTGCCCTGGGACATACAGGTATGTTAACAGGACGTGGTCAGATCATTACATAACTGGATCTCAACATCAAACCCTTGCCTAGTTACCCTCACAGCTATCGGTCTGAGTGGAATCAAAGCATGGGTCATCTAACTCCAGCTCAGCAGTAAGAGAACAGAACCACTCTGTCATGGCCGTCAGGAATCTGCTGCAGGAAATCAGTGGCCCACTAATTGACGTTAATAGTTGTCTCACCATGTCAATATCAAATCTGTTTTTTTTTCCACCTTAAGAATATTACTTGGGACTAGTCATTTCTAATTTAGCTGGGTTACTGCAATGAGGTCATGTTTAGGGATTTTCCAACAAAGCATTGGACAGGCTTTAGTGTCTGTCCAAAACTCAGCTAAATTGAAGCTTAACCAATCTAAAATGGAAAATACTTCACATTTTTGACAACTTTCAACAGAGTAAACATAGAGCTTACCTCTAAGCTGCAGTATAACTTTTACAAAAACATGTTATTTTCCATATGTATTAAAACTGTCACTGTCATGACATTATGAGGCAGATAAGCCCCCCAAAAAATTGAGCCAATGGTGGAAAGACAACTTACTAGTTTTTAAGGAACAACTTATTGTTTCAGGAAAACTGTTTATCTGTCATCATTGGTAGCTTAGTCGTACTACAGTTGTGGTCAGCTGCAGTGTAGCAAAGAGCAAGTAGGAGGGGTGAGGGCAAAAGTAAGACCCTCCTCCTGGCTCTGATTGTTTGTTTGAGTGGTTCATTTATATAGTTAGTTCTGGGAGCCCTGGGTGAAGGCAGAGGAGCTCAATTTTCACAGATTGTAAACTTTATAATTGTAAACTTTTTTTTTAAATATAAGATACATACTGCAGGTTTAATGCAAGGTTTGTTAATCGTTTTGGGTAAGAACATATGATTTTTAAGGGCATACTTTGGATATGTCGGTGAGAAAGAACCAGAGGATTTTATCTTCCCTCAGTAGAAATAATCAGTCTACAGATTATTTTTAGTTTTATGGATGAAAAAAGAAACAAAGATGTGGAAAAAAAATAGAAGTTGTGAAATGAACTCCTCTCTGACCCATCATGCAATAAGTAACTGAAAGAACACATGTATTTAATTTACATGATTGTAATATTTTGGCAGCTGATGTACTTAAATGGAATCAGGATTTATTAAAGAAAAATATAGTTATGACCAAAATTATATCCAGGCAATTTGTTTTTATGCATTTTAATTTTATGGCTGTAAAATTTTTAAAAAGTAACGAGTGAGTGATTTTTCCCAAATTCAACTTTCAGCATTTGGCACAATCACTGTGAGGTTTTCAGTTGTGCAATAGCAGCACAATTAATGAGCAAAAAACAAAAACAAAATAAAAAACTCAAAATCTGGCAAATTCCATCTACGCTGAGGGTTAAAAGTGACCACAGTTATAAACACTGCCCAAATGTGGGGCCGTTTTTCATAAAGAAAAAATGTCAGATTATGTTAGCTGAAATACAGTTTTTGGGAGCAAAGACAGCAGGAGACAATGAAATTAATGGCATTGTCTATATGTCAACTTGTGAGTGACATTTTATGTAATTTAATATATTCTCTACATTTTGTCTCTGAGAAATAACAAAGGAACAAGAACTAGTAGAGCTGTAAACATAGTCCAAACATTGAGGTGGTGAACTATGAACATGAATCAGTTCATTTTAATCTTGCCGAACTGAACTTGGAATGAACTGACAACACAACAACACTTCACCTGCACTCTCATTAGTCTTCACTTATAAACCCCTAAACACCTCAGGTCACCAGTAGGTGTCGTATACACATTTCAGACGCCAGCTTCCTGAGCCATGGCTCTACTTCCTGTCCCTCATCAACCTCTGCAGTTTTGGGGGTAAAGCTAGAACCTTATCATCTATGGCTTTTTTTTTATTTTTGAAAAAGCACAATTTAAATCAAAGTTATTATTTTTGACTGAAAAGGAATACTGGTATATAAACGTTGGTCTCAAATTTCTACACAACAGTATGAGAAACCTATAAATTCAAACAGGAAACAATCACTTCATATTATTGCTATATTGTTTTTCTATTAAATCTAACATTGTTTTTCTTGACTAAATGACAGTGAGGAAGATTTGAATAATTTAAGAACTTTATGAAAACCAGATCAATATATTAAATCCAGTTATATAAAACCTTAGAAAATGTTGAAAACCACATGACTGTAGTTAATAAAGACAAACTCCTTTTGCAGCCGTCAGTCAAAACTTTGTGCTTGTTTAACCTCGGGGCCCTGAAAATAATCTAAGTTCTGGAACCAATAGCTGCCATTAAAGGAGTTTTACTTCAGTAATAGATGCATTCTGAACAAAATGGACCATCTCGAATAGAAGAGTGTTCAACTTAAGAAAATAATTGGGATTTTGATAATGAACACTGAGGAATGATTGATGGAAATGTTTTTGCTTTTCACTTGGGCTACCATGGTTTAGTCAAGTAAGAATAACAATGCTTTTTTCACAAAAACACACAAAGTTTCTGCTTTAAGAGCAGATAAGAGTTTCTCACTGGTTCTGCGTGAATCATCAATGAGCTTTGGGGTCTTTGGAAGATCTGGGAGTCGAGTTGGAGGCTCATGGTACGTTGGATGCTGAAGCTGCTGTGTGACCTCCGAGGCATTTTAGATACGTCTTTTTGTTCCGACTCGTTATTACTGTCACGCTCATCCTTCTCCGAACTAACACAGGACTCTTGTTTCTCCCGTTCCTCCTGTAACAACTGGTCATACAGGACTGAAATGAGTTCAGATTTTAATCTTGCAGTACAATCTGGTTTCTTATAACTTCAGTTTTCTTTGTTTGTTTGGATCCACCTGTAATTTTCTTTCACTTTCCTCCTCCTCCAGTCGTCTCTGTTTCCGTATTTTGGCCCTGTGTTTGGCTCTCTTTTCCTGCAGCAGGGGAATGAGCTTTGCTTTGGAGAGATTCCTGCTGAGCACTTGAAACTTGGGCCAAAGCTTCAGCAGTTCACTGAACACAGCTATCTGGATAAGCAGAGAAGCATGAAGAATAATAAATTTTGGTTTTATTAACTGTTCTCACACACATATTCGTGTTTCTTCCCATATTAGGACTTTGTATTAACATCTGTTCTTTTTAGTAACTACATGTCTGCCTAAACCAAACACTTACCAGTATATTCCTAAAATAGGGCAAGACAATAAATCATCTGTATATTGCAATAGACATGTGATCAATATCAATGGATAATACATTTGATAGACTGTTCAATAATTTCACTGAACTCCAATCCACAGCCACACAACATTCAGGTATATGTAGGCAGAAGAAAGACTTTAGCCACTTAATCTCAGCCAGCTAAGCTAGGTAGATGGCATTGAATAACTGACTCTCTTAGGTTCCCTAGCAACAACCAGCTTTAGTGACTTACGCTGCAGCAGTTTCAGGTTTCACCACCGTGACTCATAACAATGGCATGGAGTGAAAACACTGGATAAAACAAGAAAGGTATTGCCACCAGTTTGGCAGTATTTCAGATATTTAAAACAAACAAAAAAAATCAATAACACTGGTCAACAGCCAAAAAATCGTCTGGGATTTTTCCAATTGTTTTAGAGACATTTTGATGTGTTGAATTCAAAAATCCCATTGGTTTTGCTCAATCAGGTCAACTTTCTGAACTATGGATGCAACATGAGCATCAAAATGCAGGACTTCTTTCCACATATGGATCAGTTTCCTGAGAATCTGGGATCAATGAGTGATGAGCAGGAGGAGAGATGCTATCAGGACAGAAAAGAGACAGAGACGTAATGTTCAATTCACATGAACTTACCCTTAAAAGTATTTATTATTCACTTTACAGAAATCCAGGTTTGGGACATTTAACTAATAAAATTCTGTTAGAAAATGTTTTCTCCTAAAACCTTTTTTTGGATGATAAATATTAACAGAAATAAACTGATAATGTCAAAAAAATGTAATCAACATAGTCAGAAGATCGGATTTCTCTAAATCAAATTAGAATAAAAACCTGACCTGATTGAGAAAAATGTACGTCAGTTTTGGATTCAGCGCTGCAAAACAGTCCCAAGTTCAGTTGAAAAAAAAAAAACAGACAACTTCCAAAAAATATTTTTTGTATGACAAACAGGGTTTCCTTCAGTGCCCCACCACCAAGATAAATGTTGTTTGTTACTAAACAGTGACGGTAAATACGGATTAAGCTAGGTTGATAGTTGAACTGTACGTTGGCCTCTATTATTTCCATATTATAATGCTCGCTCTTGCACCTCCAAATTATTTTAACTTTTGACATTTTTTAATACAAAAACACAGTGGGCTGCTGGAGGACTGTCCTAGCATCCCTACCATCAGGCTTAGCATGTTTTCTGGGGGAAACCCTGAAACGATTATATTGTGATTTACGTTTTCATCCATATCGTCGAACCTTATCATAACCAAAACTAAACCTAAACAAGGGGGTCCACCACATTAGTACTGGGTTTTGGCCCCCATAAGACCCATCTGTCTTCAGAAGGTTGGTAAATATTCCAGAGAAGGTCCTGAATAGAATGGCTAAACGAGTACACACACAGAGCCAGTACCTGTGCCTCTCTGAAGATATAAGGGCCGAGCTCACGGCGCCTTTCCAGAATACGCCGAGCCTGATCATGAGAAATGTTGATCTGCACAGATGGTGGGATGGAAGAGTTGATGAAACAGTTGATGATTGTGGAGATTTTATGCTGGATTATGACCATACTGCTGTGCGAATGGCAGAGGTCCTGTATTCAGAGAGAAATGAGTGTAATGCTGTAGGACCTGTCTCACACACACACTGGGAAAAAATGTCATATTTCTGAAGGTATGAGGACTGTGCAGCCGCCAGCACAGAAGCTTCTGGATCTTCACCTTATATCTCTGCACCTCCACCCAGAAGCGCACGTCATTTTCCAGTAACTCTCCTTTCACAGAGACATAGTCCTGGAACTGCTTGCAGGTGGACGGGTTGAGAAGAGCTCTCCGAAACAGAAGGATATCTCTGGAGGTACTCATCTGTGAAGCCTCCAGATGAAAACGGGGAGCTTAATGTTAATCAGTAATCAGTAATAGGTAAAACATGTTATTTGCCAATGAAAACATAATATAGAGACAATTATGTAGTCAGCTAAAGAACTTTTCTTTTCTTTAAAGGGAGCACCCTCCCTTTAAAGAAAAGTGTTTATTATTCACTTTACAGAAATCCAGGTTCTCCCTTTAAAGAAAAGGGCTTTAGCTAACTACATAATGTATTTTATGTATTTTCCTGGCACATAGTGCCATTTTACAGCACAATTAAGTAACTATGTTAACTTCAGTTATTATACAAATAATGCATATATCAACTGTGACAACAATTTCCCTTTATGAAGGAAATTATAACATGATGTAAAGCTCAAAATGTCAACTTTACATAACACTGCCCCTTTCTGTCACATGAAAGTTCAGCTAATATTTAAATCTGTTTGAAAAAGACATGAGTTAAAGTAAAGTTAGCTAAGCAAACATCCTGAAGCCTAATGTAACAGCCCAAAAAAATTTAAGTCAGTGCTTAAAGCCAAATCTTCCCTGAAAATCCCTGATGCCTGGCGAAGAAGAAATTCCTCATTTCTCTCTATTCATGAAGGGCTTCTTCTTACCTTCCTTGCTTTGATCCGGTTCAGCTGTGCGGCTCTATCGTCTGATTTAATCTGCCACACAGAAACAAAGGCAAACAGTCAGGAATCAAGACCTTGAGGAGAGGCCTCACACACGTCCCTGTGGTGCTCTCTTTCCCTGTCACTAGAACTGCATCCCTCTCTCCTTTGTCTTCAATCTCATTTGTTCTTTCCAATCTTCCTCCTTTGACCTTTTCTCCTCATTTCATCTCTTAAACATCTTTTCCACCCTTCCCCGCATCTCACTTTTCAGACTGTAATGCTAAACTACATCTACCTTTCATTACCTAATGAGAAGATCTGTGTCACTAAACCCAGTAAACTTGATAACATAATGCCGCAGAGCAGCAGAATCTGCAGTTTATGTGTTTCCACTCGAAGAAGCAACCTAAGAGAGCGACAAGCCAGTAATGGCGTTCAGTGGCCGATCCTATAACCTTAATGTGTGTATGTGTGTGTGTGTGTGTGTGTGTGTGTGTGTGTGTGTGTGTGTGTCTGTGTGTCAGTGGGCACATCCATTATACAGACTTTAAACATGATACACATCACAACTGCCTCTGAAATATTTAATACAATTATTGGCAAACTAAATGAGATCAAATGACAATTCGTTTTCGTTTAAAAACACAAAGTGTCCGTCCAGTCCATTCTCTGCATGTCATTGAAACATTTAATAAGATCACAGTGCCTTGAAAAAAAAATAATTCACACCTCTGAACTTTTTCATATACTGTCAGATCACAACCAGAAATTCTAACCCATGTTGTTGCAAAATATACGTGCAAAACTGAAGTGGAAGTAGAACAAATGACTGAAAAGTGTGGCATGCAGTTGTATTCAGCTTCCTTTAATAAATACTTTGTAAAATAACGTTTCGCTGTAGTTTGAACCAAAAGTATTTTGGGGTTTTGCTGTTTGCAGCAAAACCCCAAAATACAGCACAATGCTGCCACAGTATGTGTATTCTTCATTTTTCCGACACAAACTGAGCTTTGTTTGTCCCCCATGTGGTCTATGGCAACCTACAAGCAGGCCTTCATTGAATAGTTTTTGTTTTGTTTGCTTCTTTGTCAAAAAATTTTCTCAGCTGAGCAGTGGATCTCTGCAGCTCCTCCAGAGTTACTCAGAGCTTCCCTGATCAACACACTCCTTTCCAGGTTTTTTATTTCAGACACTATGACTTGGTAAAACAATTTGAAAACCACGTTATCCACTTTCTCCTTCTGCACAATTTTGCACTACTTAGTGTTAGTACGTCGCATTCAATATAATGAAGTTTGTGGTTGTAACTTGATGGAATGTGGAAAATGAGCAGGAAAACATTTTTGCTTTGCAGTAAAAGGGTCTGGATTTCATCTTTTGTGTTTGCTAGAAAAAAAAAAGTCAATTCCATGACATCATTTGCTAATTAGATTCAAATACAAAACACTGTTGGAAAAACAAATAATATTAAGTCTCCAAATATTGTACATATACATGTTATACTTATTAATGACAATGGAAGTGAATAATGGAGCACCAGATTATCATTATTAGCTGCTATATCAATGTAGCTATAAATGTGCTCATGAGTCCATTGACTTACATGTAAGCGTTTTTGGGGTGACCGTCAAGGGGTTAAACTTTGTCCAGATTGCTAAAGTTCCTCTAAAACTTGTGTGCTGTGAATTTCTACACTAAAGGTAGCAGGATGCCACCCAGTGGTGGATAGGAAAATGAATGTAGGTAGCAAGGTGCCTAAACCTGTTTTCTAGCATCGGAAGTTTTTTTTTTTTTTTTGTCTATCAACAATTATTTATTGTCAGAAATGTTGATGTCAAATGTGAGGTATCAAGATTTTTACCTTTTCCTTTTCCCTTTCTTTGTGTCGCTCAACAAACTCTTTTGAGGAGAGGAACACAGGCATCCATGTTTCTTCAAGGTAAGGTTGGATTATTTCCTGGATTGCAATCGCAACTCTGTTTGAGAGGGTTTCTGACTGCAGCTTCTCCTCTCCACCTGCCTTAACTAGAATCTACACAACCAGAAGACATAACAGAGTAGAAGGGGGAAAGGAATGCTTATCATATTTTGTATAAAATGACATAAAAAAAACTCGAGACAAGTAAATGTACAAGTAAATGCATAAAGGAGGAACCTAACAGTGACACTCTCCCCTTCTTATCTCCGCCCGTGCTCTGCATTATTCCCACAAACTCTTCCCTTAATCTTCTAGCTTTTTTCAATCCTCATATGCTGATTTCTTCCTTTCTTACATCTCCTTTATTCCATTTTCCTTTTTTATCTGGAGCGCACACAACCCTGCTTGCCCTCATTTAATCTCGTAAGGCTTTTGAAATGAGAACCAGTTGCAGAGTGGGAATCAGGAGATGAAAGAGGGGCATTATGTGACTGGATGACTGAGCGACTGAGCGAGTGAAGGGCCAAAGCAGTAAAGCTGTCATACTCTCTGCATTGCACACACAGAAGAGAACCAACAGTGAGACATAAGAACGGCTCCCAGAGTCAACCCCCATAGAGTCAGAAGCAGTAGAACTGGCTTTCTAATTTAAAAGCAATTTTAATAATTGTTTTGGAGGCAATTATAGGATGATGCTGACAAATCACAAACATCTTGCCCCACAGTTTAGATCATGTCAACACAAGCACATTGTTTTTGTTCAAGAAATCGGAGTAAGTCCTGTGAATGAAGTCAGTTTGATCTCGGAGCGTTATTTTGAGCTGATGTAATAGACTCTGAACTAAAATTTAGATCAGGCCTAAAATAATCCAACCTGACCCAAGCAATTAGGCATTTTGTCAGAGCCTGATCCGACCTGACTAATTCACTTTAATTAGGGGCTCGGAGTCTAAAGTAAACCTGACATGTTATTTTAATTGAGATTTTACTGCTTACTGTTTTTAGACCACCATTTAAGTAAGCAGTGTAACATCTCCTGTCTTCCAGCTCCATCTTGTTGCTTGTTGTAAAAATGCTGAGTCAAGTGCAAATCTAGGATGTGGAGGTTGATAGGATCCTGTACTTACCACCATCTGGAGAACTTCTGCACTGCTCCTATATTTACACCATCATAAATAGATTAACACAACTTTATATCAAACATTCTCATTTGGTTTTCTCCGTGTTGCAACCTTATTAAACTCTCTCCAGAAGTCGGAGTCTAACCATCAAGCCAAAAAGTCTGGCCTGACCCAGCCCGAATTTCAGCTTGGGCCATAAATCCAAACGCTACGTTGAACAGCTGGGAGGTAAATCTAGAAATGATCCTGGAGCCCAGAAATACAATCTGAGATGGATTTAAACTTATAATTATTGTTTCTGAAGCTGAATAGAAACCATTTAATTCTCAGGAGGTTGTTTTATTGCCAATTCTCCAGCAGCACCCAGGATCCCAGAGGAAAGTGAGAAAACATTTCTTTGAAGCTGCTGCAGCCTCTGTTTACAAAACCTGTATACATTTATTGGTGTAAAAAATGTGTGGATTTTTAGTCAGATTAAATAAAATGTTACATACATCTTTCTGTTGTTTTTCTGTGGCAGGGCTGCCAGGACCAAAGAAGTAGCCTTCGTTCAGGTACTTTTTAACAATCATAGTTGACTTCTCCTGTCTGATGCTCTCGTCTGTCTTAGAAATCGTCTTGTACCGCTCTAGGTCCAACCAACAGCTCAGATGAATGCTGCACAGGAACAAAAAAAAAATTAAACCTTCAAATAAATCTCATCTTCCTCTATATACCACTTCTCTGCTTGGTACTACCTCTTACCTGGCATCATTTTCCTTCAAGGAAGTCATGAAATGTCCAATCTCTTGAGGCTGACGAAGTAAGGTCAATAGACGATAACCACGGAAAACTGCAGCCACTTTGGACCACAGACCAGCGTTTCGAATTCTCTTTGAAGGGAATGGCTCGATAGATATAGGAAGATTCATGGACCTCTGCTGCTCCACATGAAGAGACGCACAAGAGAAAATAAGAGAGACAGAAGAACACCATTAAATTAGTACTCTAAAGACAGTTCATCTGTGAGGATGGTTGCTGTGTGATACAGCAAAGGATATTCAGCTTTGTTCCAAAGGAAACAGGTGAAGATTGTTCCAGGTACATCCATTCTGTCTGTTCCATTCAAGGCTTCTTTCACAGTTTTCAAATCAAAACTCCATCTATTTAATTTATAGAGTTCTCAGTCCTTAAATTCACAGTTTTAAGGTAAAAATACAAATGTTTACCATGAAAAGAAATGGATGAATGATTAGCAGATGGATGTACAGGGTGACCCACAAAAATGTAGCTACTTTTTTTACTTTTCTTTTTTTACTTTTCGTACACTTTTCAAAGTGTACACTAATAACCCGAAAACTTTACAGCAGTTGAAAGACAATATTCGTAATGCAATTCAGAGCATTAGTGCCCCAGAGTTGCGTCGCATATATGACAATATGTTAAGGCGTGCCCAAAACTGCATTGACGTACAATGGGATCATTTTCAGCATTTTCTGTAAAGAATGAGTAAAGATTTTGGCATTTCAAGTTCTTTCTTTCTTTCTTTACGGAATGCCGCCAGTAATACTATAGTAAAGCGGGCTACTTTTTCGTGGGCCACCCTGTATAAAAAGGTGAATGGATGGACGAACTAATGATGGGTTTATCTTTCACACAAAAGAACAGAGTCTGACTTAGGGCTGGACAATAAATCAGTAATAGGTGTTGTGATAAACATGCGATCAATATCAATAAATAATACATCTGATAGAACATTCAGTATTCATTGTATAGAATATTCACTGAACTCTGATCCATAATCGCAAAGCATTCTGGGGGATGTACACAGAGGAAAGGCTTTAGCTAATCAACCTCTCATGGCGAGCTAAGCAAAAGTGGTGGCATCAGCTACCTCACTCATTCATTCTTTGGTTACCTAGCAACAACCTGTTGAGTAACTTGTGCAGTAGTCATTTTAGGTTTCGCCACCGTGCCTCATAACTCCTTAAAAATAAAAACTAATGGCAAAGATTGAAAACTATGGATACATGAGGAAAGGTCATGGCACCAATTTGGCGATATTTCAGATATTTAAAACAAAAAACTAATCAATAATTATTGATAGACAGTTACTGATATTGACTGATATGAAATGCTTATATTGTAATATGTTTTTCAGCCATTTTGTCCAGCCCTAGTATTCAAATTCAAAAATGCTTTATTAATTCCAAAGGGAAATTAAATGTTGCAGTAGCTCATCAATATTCTTCAAAGACACATTGAAGATGGCGATGACTGTTGGCAGGAAAGATCTACTGAAGCCGTCTGAACCACACTGAATCTCAAGAAGCTTCTGGTTGAAGATGCTCCACCTTCCCAAGACAGTCTCGTGAAGAGGACGAACAGGATTGTCCATAATCTTTCTTTGCATCATCATCTCCAGAGGTTCCATAGTTGTCTCCAGAACAGAACCAGCCTTCTTCATCAGTCTGTTGGGCCCTTTTAGGTCCCTTGCTCTGATGCTGCTGCCCCAACAGATGACGAATGAAGAGATGACGCTCTGAACAGCAGACTTATAATAGATCACCATCATCTTGCTGCAAGCCTTGAAGGGTCAAGGTGACGTCTGAAAATTCTATTATTTTTCCATACCTATAGAGACCTCAAAAATAATAATTCTGCAATTTCTCGGTGTGTTTATGAACTCTTTGACCTGTTGTTGCTTGCTGATCCGTTTCTGGTGCTCCTTTGATTCCTTGCAGAGCCTCAGGAGTTCTCTGTACTCTGTATTGAAGAAGCACCGCTGCTCCTCGTGCACAGGCACCTGGACACAGACAATAACTCTTTAGCTAACTGATTAAACTTTTGCAAGTAATGGATCTTTAAAATTTGGATCCAGGTTAGGATTTTCTGAATATTAAACAGGACATTGTTATCGTTATTTTACTTGTTTTAATGTTTTTAAGACTGCTTAAATCGAAAAGCCTTCACAGTAACTTTATGCCAGTGTCTTTATGTACCTTGCAAACTTAAAATGTGTTATTTGGATTTTATGTGATGTGTGAACTGGAGATGATAAAGTACTGCATAATTGTACAATTGAAAAAAATAAATACATAAAGATTATTATGACAAACCAAAAATCTGAAAAAGGTGCCATGCATTGACATTCAGCCCACCTGAGTCAACACTTTTTAGAACCACCTTTGTGTGCAATTACATGAGCAAAACCTTTGTAGGCTGTATCTCAACTGGTCAGCCCCATAGTGGAGGGAGATGCTCTTCCTCAGTTCCTGATCTTTTAAATTATTCCAAAACATATGGCTGTCTCCAGGGATTAAACTTCACAATTTTATGCTACATCGTGTTGGTTTGTCACTTTCTCAAAAAATATGTTGAAGTTTAGATTTGTATTGCAAAAATATGGAAAAGTTGAAAGTATGTGAGTATTTTACAAGGCACTGTAACCCTACCAAATACTAACTACACTAACCAGAAAGTAAGATTAAATTACAGCTACAAACAATTAGAAATGCATCGATCTGATATTTATATCAATATAGGTCCTGATGTTATTTTTATCCATACAAATCTCCACCGTTTATGTTGTTCTGCACCTGCTGAAATGACTCTTTGTCCCTCTGGTTCAGCTGTGTCCACGGCTCCAGAAGGATGTCCAGCACATGTTCCTCCACCCTATCAAACAGCTCCTCAAAAGCAGGCTGCAGTTTGTTGTACACCTCTCTTCTGATTTCAGTCTTAACATTAATGCTCCTCCTTGCAAAGCTGGAGATATATGTGGAATAAAGGACCTGGGAAGGAGGAGAGACGAGAAAATCTTTTCAAGTAAGAAACATTTTTCTGCAAAACCACAATCACTTTCATCATCACCATTGCTCTCTGCTTTTACAATACCACTTTCGCTCATCAGAGCTGCCACCACACCAAATAAATGTCACTCATTTAACCCTCCTGGCTGTGGCACTAAGGAAACAACATTAAATGTCATCTCTCTGGTGAACTAAAAAAAAGTCAGCTTCCCGCTGTGATGTGTTCTGGACTGAAACATTCTTCTCTTGTCCTTGGTCCCAGCATGGTCGAGCACAATGGTTCTAGGTGACTGAGCTGGCACAAAGAACTGTGGGTGGAACTCATTTGTTTTTATGAGAAATGCAATTTCTCCACCTAAAACAGGAGTAGTAAGAGGACACAGTTGAGAATGGTGGAGGCTAGGCTACACAAATGAATGGAATGTCTCAATATATTGCCGTAATTGGGATAGCAATGACGCTTCTGTGTAAATGTAAAAGGGAGGAAGAAAAAGCACCTCTTGGACCTCTAACAATTTTACATTTCTCTTCTGGTTGTTGGCTTAGAATACAT